TTTGGTCATGTAAGTCAGGTCAAACATCATATCAGACTTCATGATCAAACTCCTTTTAAAAGAGCGCGACCGATGTTGCAGACCCAAGCATCAATTCATGTTTGACTTCATGCTTTTCTGAATAGTTTCTGGGATGCTTAGAACTAAAATTACACTGCTGGAAATAGTTTTTGGAAATTAGTTTTGTTTTTGTCTTTTTGCAAATTACAATTATAATATTTATTTTTGTTTTTCCTGCAGGACATAAAAATTGGTGTATCTCAAAAACTATGAAGACACTCAAAATGCATTTCCTGTTGTTGGAAACTATTTTGTGCAACTTTTTTGTATTTACAGTTTTGAGGAATAAACCTCTGAAATTTCTCTAACTAGAAATTTATGTAAAAAAAAACAAAAACAATTTTCATTTTTTTGTAGTTTATTGCACTTTTTTGCAATTTATGTAGTTATTATGGACTTAATGCATACATATTATTAAAATTTGGGCTATAACGGTTGTATTGATGTATAACAACTTGAAATGCTCCCAAAAATGGCACTACAGCATGTAAAAATATAAAGATAAGCTCTGGCGGACTTGGTTCTATGGTAGGTCTTAAAGGGTTAAAAAAGATCTGGCTCTAGTCTGGCTTCTCGTAAGCAAAATATAAACAAATGAGTAGCATCTCAAGACTTTTTCACAGTAATGAATAAATTAACTAATAACTTACAATAAAAACTGCTGTCAGCACCACAGATGATAGAGCTGATAAAAGAGTGTTAGTCAGGTCAGGGTTATGGTTTTTCCTCATTCTAAAAAACGAAAGTAGCACTAGAGAGCTTATAGTGCTAGCTAGCTCCATTTAGCAAGGTGGAAGCGGTCAGTGTGAGACTATTTTTATTTGCTACCCTGCACTCATTTGCGGACATGTGCATCGACTAAGCACAATCAATTCTGGAAACAAAAAAACTAAGACATGCTAAAATCAATGCTTCGACACGAGACTTGTAAGAGACACGTATGACGTGGCCACATACTTTTACTTGGGTGTGTGGCGTGCTGAAAAGTGTAAGACCCAAGACAACATTTTTTCTTAAAGGGACAGTATTTTAAAAAAAGGAGATAAAAATATTTGGAATGCAATAAATAGCTTTGCAATAAAGGTTACTTGAAATGAAAACAATAAGATCTGATGAGTCCAGATTTACCTTGATCTAGAGGCATGTGTGCATTAAGTTAAGAAAGCAGGCGGATGATATACCAAAGATTACTGATGCCTGTGGTGGCAGTGGTATAATCTGAGTTGCTTCAGTTGGTTGGGTCTAGGTTAACCAATCTTAAGTGCCAAAGGATGAGGTCAGCTGAACTTCTGATTGTAATGAATGACCAAGCTCTTATATCATCAGTAAAAGAGCTTTGTGAAAAATTAACAACCGTGAATGCAACCATGAACGGAAAAGATTCTGGGTATGAATCTGCCAGCTGACTGAGGTCTTTTTGTGTGAAGTTTGTATTGTTTTGCCTTAAATCCTGCCAGGTATTGTGGCTTTCTTACGCTGTCCAAAGTGAATGAATAAATTATTGTTCATCTCTCTGTGTCGGCCCTGTCATGGACAAGTGACCCTATCCAGCCGCCTTGGGCCTCTGAATTGGGTAAGAAGAAAATGGATGGGGGGACTACTAGACTGATCTGATAATGACATGCTATGGCTTTAGATCATTTACTGGCTATTATGTACTGAACTGTAGTTCAGGTATTTTGTTCCTTTATGCATGTTCCTTTATTCAAATTTGGAGCAGCTAAAAGCAGAAGATACATGAAAGTGGAAACAATGTGTGTGTCTGAATGAAACAAAACTTCCAGTAACCTTTGCCATGAACCATGTTAATTACCACAGGGTGCTTCCACAGCACTGTGCCTCTGAAAATTGTGAAAATTGTGACTTCTAGGGTTTTGAGGCTTTTATTTTTGCACATTCAGAGTCACTGTATTTTATGCTTGTAAAGTAATGTCAGTCAGTCTGGCACTGGGTAGTATATTGAGGACTCACTGTACTATCACTGAAGTCAGTTCCATTGGCAGAATCTCAAAAATCATAACCATCAGATTACTCTCACAGCTGGAAACAAATGAAATAGAAAATTAAAAGTGCTGCACTTAACAGTTAAAGAAGGTAAGAGCACTAAATATCCCTGCAGCCAAAGGAAATGACAGAACTAAAGACCTATTTCTGTCTGTGTGGCCTTCCTATGTTGGCAGACTAGACTAAACTGTGCCACAGCTGAAATTATGCCCCAGAAACCTCTCCGGGGCCTTGTTCTGTTAAGAGACCGCCATGCCTAGAAATACTGCCGCCACAAACCCACAGGGCAGGAGGGGACTGTCCGCCTCAGATTTGCAGCTCAGACTCATGGGGTGTGTTTTTTTGTCTCAAAATGGTGAGGGTGAAATTAAAGGCAGCGTCTTCATGTAATTGCACATGGATGTGCCCACTGCCCATGAATCTGACCCCAGCTCTTGCACTCTAATGAAAGGTTGAAAGCTTGAACAAAGCAAAACTCTGGCAGAGTGATGGCTACAGGGATTTCAGCCAAATAGATTTTGTAATGTGCCCATGGTACTATAGCAAAGGGCCCTTATCTTTATTCTATCCGGCCATTTTCATGTAACCACTAGTTCTCCTGTTTGAATGAGAGGCTATTATGTTAGCAGTCAGAACAAAGCATTATAATCAATTATGAATGTCTCTGGGATATGTTATCCAAATAGGTATTTGTAAGTGTACTTTCTTTTTGTATAGCATTACTATAGCATGAATAATGGATATCTTTATAGGTTTGGGTCTCGAGTCAAGTTATATTATTAGTTAAATGTTCTATATATCTATAGAGAGCAAGTTGACCTTGTGCAAAGCTATTTAAGAAAAATAGACACATCAAAAATTTGATGCATGCTTTATTATACTGCAGGCCAAAAATATCTAGATATATGTAAAGCAGTACAGGCTGCAACATTAAACTGATGTTATATGGCAAGGTCTCTCTATAAGCGAATAATGTAATAGATATTAATGCACTAAAATAGAGGTTGCTAAGTCAATAACCTTTAGAGTACTTCAACATTGTGCAGCTTTTACCTAAAGAAATTATGTTAATATTGACCGCCATGTCACGTAACACTATATACTTTAAAAAGTCCGGGGCCGACTGTAGCTTAGCAGTGGAAAGTTTCCCCGAGGAATGGTCTTACCATCTGTGAGGCCAGCTACTCTGAGGGAAGCAAGGTTATACTGTACAGTACTTTCAAATGATGGGTTGCAGCTTGTAGGTTATACTTAAATAATATGGCATTATAATAGCAGGAAATTGCACATAACACACATGGTGCATTGATGATTTAGGGTAGTTGTAAAACATCAGATCATAAAGAGTGGAAGCTACACACACCACTTGTTAAATTAGTGTCCTGCACACAGAACGATTCAGCCTGGTTTGAACCAAAGACGTCTGCAAAGGAACAATTTAGTGAGGGTGGTCTTGAAAAAGTGAAAAGCCCCCCACTTCCACCCATGCTCCTCTTCTGTAGGCTATGAATACACATAAACATAGACTCACTCTGACCACATATTATGGGTTAGTACTTGCTGATGGTTTCATATTTGGAACTACGTTTATGTAAATGCAGATGTGAGCTCCACATCACTGCAGTTTGCTGAAAAACCCAAGGTTTTTCCGACCATGCTCCCAGTCTGTTAATCCAGCTGCCTTTTACATACACCCACTCCGTGATTGGTCCCAGATTTGCTGTGGGTCCGGAGTAACTATTTGGCTTTTTCCCTGAAATTTTCCCCATTGCTGCTGGCACAGTGTGTGACCTGCAGGAAATGACTGAGAATTGTGACTGTAACAATGCTAATGGACCGGTGCCAGACCGCAGCTGTTTATTTAACCACACAAAGCATTCTTCTGGGTTAATAGCCACAGACACTCCAAGATATTGACTATTTAATGATTTGGTCTGAGACACAGTACAGTATGTGCTTGGTTTGGGGGGAAAATTGCAAAAATCTAGATGTGTGGCACCGTATCAAGCAAAGCAATAAGGTTCCTAGCAGTGGAAGCAGTGACTCAGTTATTCTGGGCTCGAGCTGCGGACTTTTGTTTGAAAATGGAGCTTTGTGTTTTAGTCCTACTTGGTTCACTGTGTTTCGTTACAGTCAGGGAAGTCTTAAGAATCTCCTCAAAGCGCTTTGTCACATCTGTTTTAAGGAGTTATTATCTGTCAGTCTGCCTCTCAGACTCTTTACTGCCAGCCCTGCCCATCCTTCCTGGATGTGAGGTCACAAGAGAATGACCAGAACAAAGGATGGGCAGCAGTCATACACTCTTACAGCACCGCTCTCTCCTTTGGGTCCATGTCAAATAAAAAGTAGTGATTTGCATTCTGTTCACAGGTTTTATCAGTGGTTTACATCAGTTGTTGTGGCTAGCATTTAGATTTTTCTTTCGATACTTATCATTTATTATTTGTAGTTTAAAAAAAAAATATTACCAGACTGCTGACTTCCCACTGGGATTCATCATTACCTGAACCAGATCAGAACCTCCACTCAACCTAAATTTAACCACTCAATTTAAACATTGGACTCAAGTGAAATAAGGCATTACAGTCCTATCAGAGTTTTAAGTAGCCCAAAGATATATATTTAACATTTCTGCTCACATTAAGAGTCACTGTTGTTACCTAGTGAGCTAGCAACGCTACCAAAGCTCTTTAAACAAACAAACAAACAAACAAACCCAAAGCACTTTGGTGCGCAGGCAAACGATAAAAACAAGTAGGTTTGCACCTTTGGTTCCACAGTTAATAAAACCCTAAGTAAGTGTTTTGTTGTGAGTGCTATAACGAACATAGCAGAGGACAACGTGTGAGAATGAATCTTTGCATCTCGTGTCCACAAACATACCTCCTGTCGGTGATGCGCTTCTGACCCCCTAGAGCAGCCTCCCTGCGCTCGCAGTCCGGGCTGAAGGAGGGGAGGGAGGGGTGTGACTACCAGCCGACCGTCGACAGCTCCGGAGTTTCCAGAGCTCAGTGAAAAAAAAGAAAAAAGATGAGGAGCTGCTCTCTTCTGCCGAACAACGAAGAAAGACTTAAAGTTCAACAGAAAAGAAAGGAACTCAGATAATCGACTGCGATGAAATGTGCGTCCAAAAGTGCGGGATTGACTTTAAAAACAAAGCGAACTGCGAGCATCCAGAGGTAAGTTGTTTTAAAGCTGCTGGTTCTTTCTTGGAGATTTAGACAGCTTGAAGCTGCAAAAAAAAAACAAAAAAAACAAAAAAAAAAAAACACTCAGTAATTAAACTGGCGCTATTTGCTGAAATCCGTCGATAATTTACACGTGACGACTGTGCCAGAAATATGCTAATTTTATGCATAATTAGGTGTTTTCAAATGAGCGGCTTCGATTTCCAAGACTTCTCTGTTTCAAAGGAGAGGGGGGAAAGCGACATCAGCGTTTATTTCAAGGTGTTTTTTACAATAGCGAGTGTGTTTCTGGTGAATAACCTTTTGTTTCTATAATTAGTGGAATTTAATCAAACAAACCGCACAAGGACAATGATGGCAGCATGATGATCTGTAAATTGGCTGCTCTCTAAAATAACGCTCAATCTACTCCTGCAGTTGAACACAGTGGACACCGCGCTCCCTGCTCGAGTCTGACCTCCAGTGTCGGCTGCTGGTATTCTTTGGACAATGATCAACTCTCAGATCCAGCTCCACTACAACTACACAGGAAAGCTGGCCAACCGACCAAGCATTGGCGCGAGCCCCGGCACTGTGGACACCAAAACCGTAGTTTTCCTCATCGTTTGCAGCTTCATCGTCTTGGAGAACCTCACAGTGCTTGTAGCCATATGGAGGAACCACAGGTTCCACAACCGCATGTACTTCTTCATCGCTAACCTGGCAATGTGCGACCTGCTGGCTGGAGTCGCATACCTGGTCAACCTGCTCTTATCTGGAGAGAAGACCCTGCAGCTCTCACCTGCTCTCTGGTTTGTGAGAGAGGGGAGCATGTTTGTAGCACTTGGAGCCTCCATTTTCAGTCTCCTGGCTATTGCTATAGAGAGACACCTTACTATGATCAAAATGAGGCCTTATGATGCGAACAAGAACTACAGGGTATTTCTGCTCATAGGGACCTGCTGGCTGATTGCTATATCTCTTGGAGCTTTGCCTATTCTGGGCTGGAACTGCCTGAATAACCTCCCTGATTGCTCCACAATCCTCCCTCTTTACACCAAGAAATATGTTGCTTTCTGCATCACGGTTTTCATACTTTTGCTCTCAGCCATAGCCATCCTGTATGCCCGCATCTACATCTTGGTCAAGTCCAGTAGCCGAAAGGTGAGCAAGCACAGCAGTTCAGAGCACGCCATGTCCCTACTGCGCACTGTCATCATTGTAGTTGGAGTTTTCATCGCCTGCTGGACTCCCCTCTTTGTCCTGCTCCTGGTGGATGTAGCATCCGAGCAGAGGTCCCCCATTCTTTACGAAGCCCACTGGTTCATTGGGCTGGCGGTGCTTAACTCCGCGATGAACCCAGTCATCTACACTCTGGCCAGCCGCGAGATGAGGCGAGCTTTCCTGGGTCTGGTTTGCGGCTTTTGCTACAAGGCGAAGGCGTCTGTGAACGGAAGCGGAAACAGACAGTCCCTGGAGCCCAGCCGCAGCAGGAGCAAGTCGTGGAGCAGCCAGAACCAGCAGGGCTCCAGGCAGTCAGAGCCGGAGAGAGGACAGGAGTCAGACAGGGGCCACGGAAAGGTTTCAGTGGTGGCTGGAGCAAGCAAAGGTACTGCTGAGGCTGCGAGTGACAGAGAAGATTAAAAGGAGACAGGAGTAATTTACAGTAATACTCTGAGCTTAAGAGTTTGTGCAGTGGTCACAACGGAGAGCATTGTTCCCAAAAAAAAGTGTTTCTTTAAATGAAGGGTAGACTTCTGACATTAGCTGCAGGGCAGTGGTTTCTTTTTGCTATATGTTCATCATCTGTAATGTATGGCTCTTTCAAGTCCAGCCTCCAGTGCTCAAAACTTTGGAGTGCTCAAGAGTTTGGAGACACATTGTCCTTTTTTTGTTGTTGGGTTTTTTTGCTGGATAACAGTCACTTCCACAGATGACTGGTGCTCTTACCCTCAACAGAAAGGACTTTTACCTCTGTAGTTGCAGCTGTGAGCTCCTATGATAAATTAGAAGTGAAAACTGACCCGCAGTTACCAAATAAGTGCAATTATATCACTGCAAAAACCAATGTAATGAAGAATGATTGTAGACTATTATTATTGCAATGACACACAGCTGAAGGTATTTATTAATCGACGTAGTTTGTATTTACTCAGTAATCCTACGGTATGCTGGGCAGTTACTGTAATCTGCATTGTATAATAACCAAGGCAAGAGTTACTCATTGTGAAGAAACAAACAGGTGCGTTTTTTGTATTATATCAGTAGCATTGTGCTCAAAATGAAAGCGTTCGTGATACAAGGGCTCCATCTGCTGGTCTTACTCAGTACTGCTGCATGTTCTCTATGCAGCTACAGCAGTTCTTTGTGTGCGTTTGTTTTGAGCTTTAAAAGCATGACGCTAGAAAGCTGAAGACTGTAAAGAGGCACGTGAATGCAGCATGTGAAATACAAATTACAGATATTCATGTTAGATAAAAAAAAAAATCTGCTTTCACTCAGTAAATTAAAATGGAAAACTATTAAATTTACTGTGTAACAATTCATTAGAATCACCTTGTGGCCAAGAGAGTGCAGCTCTGCTTTGTTTATGAAAGGAACTTATAAAGGCTTGGTTCACCAATAAAAGTATTTACTGTGTAATCTAGCCATGCTTTTGATTTTGTTAGTCAAGATTTAGAAGCATGGGTGTCGCTGTAGCTCACCTGGCTGTACAGGTGACTCAGTGCTGAAGGCTGCTGCAAAGGTTCGGCTCTGAGTCTGACCCAGACCATTTTCTGCATGTCCTTACCACAACTCTTTTCCCTGCTTTCCTGTCCACTCCCTGTACTGCACCATCTAATAAAGGCTGAAAATGCAAAAAAAAAGAAAAGGAAAAAAAAAAAGATGTAAAATGTTACCGGTATGTTTTAACGATTTCTGGAGGCAATCGAACACACAATGCATATACACTAAGTTGTGTTTTCCGTGGCTCACAACATCTATTTCCTAAAACCAATTTCCAGTCACTGTGGACAATCCACAGACCACACCTGGAACTTATTTACTCTTGCTTCTCATGGGAACTAATATAAATAGTGCGGACTGTGGATGACCCAGAGTAACACATCTCAAAGTCAAGTATATGTGAATGTGGGTAAATTAAAACCACCTGCGCATTTTAGATGAGAAATCTGTGACTCATGAGCAGAAATATTAATACCCGAAACTATTACAGCAGAGAAACAACAGCGATTCTACACATTCACGGTTTTATTGCCAACAGTCATACAGAATAATGATTAACTAATACAACCAAAAGATTAAATCTGTAAACATCATTTGGACTTGTTGTCTCTATGTTTTTATTTCCTTTTTTCCCCCCAGTTTTTTTAAATACCTGTCCCAAAATAGTGAGTTTCTGTGTGATTTCCTCTGACAAAGATTTATATTTAGAATCTCGAAATGATACATTTATAATATATAATAGAGAGGGAAGGAGGGAGGGTGGGAGACAGATAGTGAGAGGGAACAGTAGTCTCAAGCAGCAACACGCAGCAGGGCAAAAACACAACCTCTAGTGAACAGGCATGCCCCATTGAAGATCAGCTATTGCACTTTGAAGGAAGAGAGAAAGGAGAAATTAAAAACAAACATCGTACAAATAAAAGGCACATTTTCATCAACAGAAATCTGGAAAGACGCCATGTTCTTAGTTTTTGTCCCAGTGAGGAGTTTGGTCATTTCTTTAAGTCTCAAAGCTGATCCTCGGCGAGATTCGAGTACGGTTGCTTTTGATATACGCTTTGTTTGTTTGGAATTTTGTGTTCCTACAAATTCAGATTTTAGGAATAAAGCTTCTTTTTTTTACATTAGCAGAGTGCTTTTAAATAATTTAGCACATTATTCTTTCTTCAGAGTTACTTGATTTGATGAAATTATGTCGCAAAGAAGTGGAGAATGCAAAAGTAAATGACAAAATTCTCTTTGTGTCCTTCTCCATTGGGACACAATGAATCAAACACATTAACCCAAAACGGATGTGGTGGATGTTTCTTTTGTTGTTGTTGTTGTTTTTTTACATTTTCATAAGGACCCCAGTGCTGTGGGTTGTGAGATGCATGTACTGTACACTCCCTCTTGCAGCAAAACACAGGCACATTATATTACATTGCATCTGTCTTGTCAAACTCATTGAACACATGCTGATTTGGGTTCAACTGAAGTGATCCAGTGCATATCAGATACAATGCCCCATTCATTTGGTATCCATCGGTGTCCTGACATTAGTAAGGATAAAAGCATTAAATAAAAGAAAAAAAAGTCAGTTTCCAGTGCTGCTGTGTACCACTTCTATGAGCTTTTTAAAAACAACATAAATACTAAACTGTCCAGAGGAATGAGAGCATACAGTGGATTGCAAACTGAAAATTAATGGTTAAAAACTGGCTTAAAAGCTGTATTTTCCTTTCAAACGCAGTGTTATCCAAAGCAGATGCAACTGACAGGGTTAACTATCCAACTCTAGGGTGACATCTTGTGGCAAAACTGCTTTTAATCATAAGATGTCGACACTGAGAAATCAAAAGCTAACAGTAACTGAAAACGATCGAAAACATTTGGCGTAAACGCAAGACACTCGTCTGACACGCGTGAACTAAGTGACCTAACTTTGTTTTGTGCTATTGGTTTCAGATCCTTCAAATAATAATAGTAATAATAATATTTAAGATTTTAAAGGTTCACAAAAAGCTGAAAATGTGAATCAAAGATGTGAGAATATCCATTGCAAGCCCCAAAACTAATCACCGACTACACACCTAAAATAATTCAGCGAAAAACCAATTCGGAAATAGTTTGAAAAGCATATATTTTTTGTCTTTTTTATTTTTTTACAGTGTCAGCATACATAAGCACCTCTTTCAAATAAAGGGGTATCAAGGTCTACGAACATGGCCACGAGAACGGTTGATTTTAAGTCATGCGACTGCAGTGACACGAGAAAATACTTCATAAAAAACGTTATTGTTAAAGCCATTGACAGCACTGTGAAAGGGTGGCTGTTTGCACCCCCTCCCCCCACCCAACAATTTGTGACAACTGCAAAGCAAAAGAAAAGAAAAGAAAAGAAAAAAACACATTCAGGCCTAAACCCCGATAAAAGCTAGGTTTTTCTTATAGTGACTAATCGAATAAGCTGTCACGTTGTTGGTGAGATTAAAGGACGTTTTTCTGAACGTAATTTCGTTATAAAGAGCGTTTCCGTTTCCTCAACCTCTTAGCCGACGGTTCCTGTAGAAATGTGGTGTGCTTGACAGACAAAACTAAAGTTTCAGATTTTTATTCTAAAATACTCTTGTTAATACCTCTTTGAGGTTTGATTTGCGCTTTGTCTAAACTACAAGAACAATAGTCTTTTTCTTAATCTTTTAAAACACCAAATCGAGATATTGTGTCCAAATGCACCTAAGTCTTGTCAAAAATATAGCATTTCAGTCATCACAACAAAATAATAACAGTTCTCTATTGTTTTTTTTTTTCATCTTTAACAACTCCTGCATCTTCCAGCGTCTCCGGTTAAGTAACTGCAGATCAGTTTGTCTCAATAACTCTTTGAGCGAACTGAGCCTTGAAGCATCGACTCATGTTTCATCTTCAAGCTCCGTAGTGAGAGGCCACTTTAGCGCTTCCTATTATCGGTCAGGCATCGCAAGCATCACTGTTTCCTTCCCACAGGCTGTAGGAGACACAGTTCACTCCCGGCTGAAACAATCGGCAGGTTGTTGTCACGGTGATGGCCAATAAGGTGGCTAATGCTGTCAAATATGTGATCTTTTGTCCGTACCTTAAAAAGAAAAAGGAAGACAGATATTCAGAGTCTGCTTTGGTCTAATGAGAGTTTCATCTTTTACTTTCATGCATTCACAAAAGAGTTAATGAATCAAGCTCCGTGTGTCCTGTTACACCCCCCTCACCCGTCTTACCGTGCCTTCAGGGTCCACCAGCAGCAGGTGTTTGGCAATTCCATTGTGCATGCCTGTCAGTACGTAGGACCCTGGGTTGGTAGTGCTCTTACGGACGAGAAAGTCCCCATCATTTTTCAGAAGTTTTTCAGCATCGCGGCGACTCATTTTACCGTGGTACCACATTTGGCCCTCCAGCTCCTCCTGAGCCCGGAAGGCCAGAGAGCGCACAAGCAGAGGGCTCGAGTTGTCCACGGATGCTGCCTTGTGAAGACCGGATACTTGGGACTGGGCCTGTCCCTGAGACAGCGGCTGGGACTGGGACTGGATTGCATCTTCGAAGGGCTCTGGCACGATGAGGACAGTGCCAAAAGGTGAGTTAAGAGAGGAAAAGTAGGTGGAGGAAATTAAAAATTTAAATCAGCATAACTATCAAATAGACAAAAACGGAATCTAAATGTGTTTCTTCCTTTTTTGACAAACCAAATGTTGATTTTGTCAATAACTGCAATATATGAGCTTCATTTTTCTAAATTCAGTGTTCAACAGAGTTGATCCTCAAAATAGAAACACATACTGTATTCATTCCCCAAATATACTCCATCCACTGTGCTGTGATAAAATATTTGTCCCCTTCTTGAGCTTTTGGTTTTTTGCATATTGTGTATATTATCATATAAAGATAACACACGTAAATCCAAACTGCAGTTTTTAAACAATGATTTTATTTATTGAGGGGATAAAACTATCTAAGCCTACCTGGTCTATTTGAATAACTGTTAAATCATGAATTAACTACATGAATTTCACTAGCCATCCTCAGGTCTGATTATTGAGAAATCAATTAAATAGAACCTGCCTGACAAAGTGTAGGTAGCGAAACAATCTCAAAAAGCACCATATCATGATCTAAAGAACCAGCTGAGACACAAAGTCTTTCAAATCTAGCTAGAAAGCCATTTCTAAGGCTTTGGTAGGCTTTGGTACTCCAGCAATTCACAGTGAGAGCCATTAGCCACAAATGGCTCAAAAATGTTAATGAAGGTTTTGGAGTGAAAATCCAGACATAAATTTGATTGGGATGCTGACCGTAAACAGGGTGCTCATACTCAAAAATTCTCCAGTGTGACTGAATTCAAACAATTCTGCAGAGGCCACAATTCCTCCACAGTGACGTAATATACTCATTGCCTGTTATCACAAACAACTGATTGCAGTTCTTGCTGCCAAGAGTGGCACAACCAGTTATTAGGTTTAGGGGGCAGTTTTTCCACACAGGCCCAGGTAGGTTTGGATACCATTGTATTAATAAAAGAAATCCTCACTTTGAAACTGCATTTTTTGCATTTACTTTATTTATCTTTGCCTAGTGTTAAATTGGTTTGTTGATCTGAAACATTTAAATGTGACAAATATACAAAACATCCCCTGAATGTGCCTGTACTGTTTCCCATAGCATGTAAACTGATGTGATGATATGCTGATGACACTGTTTTGTGTCTGATGGTTTGAAAGGTGTCCTAAGCCAGGGTCACAGAGAGAGGGCTGCTGGACTGTCAGCTGCCTACAAAGGTATCAACCTATAACTTAACCAATCAGAGTCAGTCAGTCATTTGTTTGGATGGTGAGGAGCAGCTCAGAAACTGTACATATAATATTTGTGAAATAGAATAGTAACAATGTATATATTTTTTCTGGTATTTTTTAGTTTTTGTTGTGTTTTTTTACTTGTTATATTGTTATCTGTTGGCCCTCTTGACCAGGTCTCTATTGGAAAATAGGTTTTAATCTCAATGACTTTTACCTGGATAAAAAAAAAGGTAACAATTAACATGAACTCACTAAAATGTGATTAACTGTTATAGAACTACAGTAGGTGGACATTGAAGCCTGAATTTAAAAAATTCCAAAAGAAACATTCACATTTAAATTGCACAGCTCATGCTTTACATGTAATTTGTGTCATGGTTTCTTCATGTGTATGCCTTTGATCTTCCATGTGTATTAATAGCAAAGATAAAGCTGAAGTTAGAAGGAGGAAGGGGACAACCACACACTGCCATTATCACAGTCGTCCTTTTGTCCTCATACTGACATGATGTTATTATGACGCCGAGCTTAAGTCACTGAGAAACAAAATCTGGGAAACCTCTATAATTACGAACTCTGATTCTAGTCGTCTTACAGTATTATTCTGAAGGAAGCCAACAGATACTATTCAGCTTCTTTCTACTGCTTTATCATACAAGCATTAAATTATATTTTCATCAAAGTCAGGAAAGATAAAAAGTGAAAATAAATAAAAATGTACTGGCAAATGCTAAACTGTGTTTACCATAACAATAAATCAGACAGTACTTCCAAATCCGATATCTGAATACGAACTGACTTTTTAATACAAGGTAACCAAGTCTTACTCATATCAAACAGGTCCTTCTGTGGGCTCTCTTTGGCTGCAGCTGCCATGCCCTTTGTCACATTTTCAGCCTCTGCCTGGAGAGCTGCGAGCACCTGGGCATCGATCTGCTGGGTGTTCACATAGGTGGGCATTTCTTCTGCATTTGGTGCTTGACCTTTAGTCTCTGGGAGTCCACTTATATCAAATGATCCTAGAGATTTGAAAAAACAATCATTTATACTTTTGAAGGCATAAAATGTTGCAGAACTGAATATCTTGCATAGTGGATGTACTTACCCTGTTGCATGAAGAAAGTCTTTCTTTCATCTCCCCAGCTTTGCCGCCCTTGGTAATATGTCTGATCGACAGATCCTGGACCCATCTAATGACATGCAGAAAAACACTGGATATTTAAGATTATTTTGAAATAAATGATGATGTGTTGATAAGGTTTAAGACTATTTTAAGTATTGTTTACTTTTTATATATACTCACTGGACACTGTATTAGCCACACCTGCTGAATCGCTTGTTGACGCAAATGTCTAATCAGCCAATCACATGGCAGCAACTCAATACATTTAGGCATGCAAACATGGTCCAGGAGATCTCCTGAAGTTCAAACTGAGCATCAGAATGGGGAAGAAAGGTGATTTAATCGACTCAGAACATGGCACAGTAGTTGGTGTCAATCAGGTTAGTCTGAGTCTTTTAGAATCTGCTGGTCTACTGGGATTTTCCCACAAAAACATGTCTAGTGTTTACAGAGAAGTCCAAAAACAAAAGGAAATATCCAGCGAGCAGCAGTTACTCAGGATTAAATTCCTTGTTGATGTCAGAGGTCAGAGGAGAATGCCCAGACTGCCTCGGGTTTATATAAAGGCAACAGTAACACTCATTATAGCCAAGGTAGGCAGAAGAGCATCTAGCAGCAGAAGACCACACTGGTGGACACTCCTGTGAACTAAAAACAGGAAGTCAAAACTACAGTGGTGTTGGTGGGGATGTTGGGGATATTTTTATCCAAATTTTGGGCCATTAATACCAAAAACTACTCATTCTGCTTGAGTGTTATTGCTGACCACGTTTATACCCACAGTGTGCCCTCTTCTGATGGCTGCTTCCAGCAGGAAAATGCTCCATATCACAAAGCTCAATCGCAACTTGGTTTCTGGAATATGACATTAAGTTTACTTTTTTCAAATAAAGGCAAAAGGGGTTCAACCAAGTACTAGTAAGGTGTAACTAATGAAGTGACCAGTGAGTGTATATTCATGATTTCAGCAGGATCTCATTGGGCAAGTTTCCATTTAACTGAGATCTTGAAAAATGTCTAAATGGCACCCAGCAATTTAGGCTAAAATCAGACAACTGCTATGTGTAAACAAAATCACCAATGTAACTGCAGTGGGTCCAACAAGACTAAGTGTCCTGAGCATGACCATTAGAGCTGCCAGAATAAGCTTCCAAACTATTGGAGATTACAGTTTTTAAGACACCTTATAATTTAGAGGTATTATCATTAGGTACACTGACAACATAGAATACTGGAAACATGCTTAGAAAGGAATATAACAGGAATATAAAAGAGGTGAATCTCTGGTCATGGAGTGTGCATTGTGCCATACTCACAGAAACTGTCAAACAACATCAATGAAAAAAAAGTGACATTATTTTGTATCATTTGAAAATATTGTTTATATCCTTCTGATTTCTTCCCCATATATCAGGACACAAGATGACACATTAAAAATAGCCAATCAATTTGTATACGTTTGTTTACAAAAGAAACACAAAGTTAAACTAAGCTGTACCTGGCAACCATCTGCATTTTGATTGGTCAGCCTGGTGTCAATGAAGCCTCCAGGGGGAGGCATCTTCCCGGGGATGTTGTTATAGTAAGGGTGCTCTGCTGACTCCTCCTCTTCCTCCGTCCAAGGTAACTCCTCCATGTTTAATACCCTGAATAAACACTTCAGTCATGAAACTTAACACTGTACTGCATTGCTGTGCTGTATTTGATAAAATTATCACCTTCTATATTTTCTTGTGTTAGTGAACAGGCACTTTGTGATGCGCTGTTTTTATCTCACCTGTCATGTGTGGACGACAGCTTGCTTGAGGGACACTGCAGGTACTGCTGGAAGCGAAGGTCAAAGGCCTGGCCGATGGTACTGATGACGTTCTGGGCTAGTCCATCAGAGCACTCCAAGATGTGGCACGCTGACAAGAGTCACAGCAACACATTTTCATAAGCATGACGCTGCAAGTCTGCAGAGCGTTTAATCAATGAATGCTCACCTCTTCTGTTAACTGGGTCCTTTGCTACATAGGCAACATAATCTGTTGTATCCTGTAATGAATGATACATCTTGTAAAATACCACTGATATAATTAAAACTAATTATAAAATAAAACAAACAGAATTATAAAAATTAGAAAGATATAGTGTAGAATTTTATAATACATTCCATTAAAATAAAATATCTGATTGGCAGTGTAAAGTATGCCCGTACTTAAAACAGCACTTATAATTGTATTAAGATAATTTTTAAACATCTTTAACAAAATGTAGTGTTTTTAAAGTCAAATTTCAAGTATTTTTTTTAAAAATTATATCCTATTCTGTTATTTGAGTACTTACAGGGTCTCCACCTGATGCAAAGGAAATGGACTGCATGTGATGGTTGGCTATAATCTGTCAAGAAGAAAATACAGTGCATACGTGTTATCACATGGTAATGCATACATACAAGCATACATGAAGTCACTATGTTCTCATGTGTACTGATGAAATGATAAAATTTCAATTTCACCATCTGTTCTTTTATAAAAAAAAAAATCTTTAAATGCTGCCCTTCATCCCCTTAAAACTTCTTAGCAATAAAACTAAAATATGCTCCTATCTTTCGTTCACTTGTTAGGTGAATGTTCAAATCACTATACTATGGAGCCATTCCAGTGAAAATGCTAAATAAAATAAAAATAAAATGCAGTTATTTCTGAGGTTTCAAGCATGTTTCACAACGTGCCAGTGTCGGGGTTTTTTTGGTCTTTACACCAGCTGTTTCCAAGTTCATTAAGGTGTCGGTAACTTTAGCCCTCTTTCCACTGTGTTCAGCCAGTTGAAACAGCTGTTTGTTCAGATACCCGGAGAGAACCTGAGTTTCATGGCATTGCAGTCTGAATCATGACATGTGTAAAATGTGTTATTGTACAGGTATTTCCTTGGAAGTATTCTAGGAACTGCTAAACTGCTATTTTAGACTCAATGCTGTGTTCTTGCCTGCAGATTTTTGTTTTTACTAAATCTCTGGATATTCTTTTAAATAGATTACATTGAACAGATTTATGCTGCAGCTAATTAACTGCAGTGTTGCCTAACAATAACTTGCCTTTTCCATATCGAACTCTCATAGTTTGATGTTTTTCGTTGGGTTTCTAAAGCTCATGCTTTATTCAAACTTCATTAAAAGTTGTTTTGTGGTTGCTTAGATAGGCTGTCCAGCAGCCTACAAACACCCGCTTGTTGCTAATTTTGCTAGCTTGTAGGTCTGGATTGTAAAAGACATCTTTCACATACATGTTCGTATTCATGAGGTGCAACAACAATACAATACAATACAGTTCATTCTCCTAAATATTTATCTTAGGTGAACTACATGGCCACGCAACAATTCAAGGGGAACTCCAACATGCCATTGGTTCACATGGCTTCGGCTTTTAGTTTGTTTTTAGTGCAGTTTTCTGTGGTTGTCTATACTTCTATTTCCTTTTGTACCAGGGTGTATAAGGATCTTGCTTTTTCCAATCAGAAACTACAAACAATCAAATCAAAGATTAGAGGGGTGTTCTAGCATTTAAGGGAAACTGCAACATAATTTGTAGCCTTGTAGCTATATTAGGTGTTAGGTGGATCAATCACTCCCCTCAAAGTTGGAATAACTATAACTAGGTACATGGCCAGGGATTATACTGCCTTGACTTTTATTGGTCTCTGGTTGTCACATTCCTGCTAGTCTCTTCCTGTCTGTTTGCCTCTTAAACTCTAAAACTCTTAAAAAAAAAACAACTCACTTCCTTGATGTAATTGTCTTAAGCAGCAGTTTTAATATTAGTAGTAGTATTACAGTGGGGCAAAAAAGTATTTAGTCAGCCACCGATTGTGCAAGTTCCCCCACCTAAAATGATGACAGAGGTCAGTAATTTGCACCAGAGGTACACTTCAACTGTGAGAGACAGAATGTGAAAAAAAAATCCATGAATCCACATGGTAGGATTTGTAAAGAATTTATTCGTAAATCAGGGTGGAAAATAAGTATTTGGTCAATAACAAAAATACAACTCAATACTTTGTAACATAACCTTTGTTGGCAATAACAGAGGTCAAACGTTTACTATAGGTCTTTACCAGGGTTTGCACACACAGTAGCTGGTATTTTGGCCCATTCCTCCATGCAGATCTTCTCGAGAGCAGTGATGTTTTGGGGCTGTCGCCGAGCAACACGGACTTTCAACTCCCGCCACAGATTTTCTATGGGGTTGAGGTCTGGAGACTGGCTAGGCCACTCCAGGACTTTCAAATGCTTCTTACGGAGCCACTCCTTTGTTGCCCGGGCGGTGTGTTTTGGATCATTGTCATGTTGGAAGACCCAGCCTCGTTTCATCTTCAAAGTTCTCACTGATGGAAGGAGGTTTTGGCTCAAAATCTCACGATACATGGCCCCATTCATTCTGTCCTTAACACGGATCAGTCGTCCTGTCCCCTTGGCAGAAAAACAGCCCCATAGCATGATGTTTCCACCCCCATGCTTCACAGTAGGTATGGTGTTCTTGGGATGCAACTCAGTATTCTTCTTCCTCCAAACACGACGAGTTGAGTTTATACCAAAAAGTTCTACTTTGGTTTCATCTGACCACATGACATTCTCCCAATCCTCTGCTGTATCATCCATGTGCTCTCTGGCAAACTTCAGACGGGCCTGGACATGCACTGGCTTCAGCAGCGGAACACGTCTGGCACTGCGGGATTTGATTCCCTGCCGTTGTAGTGTGTTACTGATGGTGACCTTTGTTACTTTGGTCCCAGCTCTCTGCAGGTCATTCACCAGGTCCCCCCGTGTGGTTCTGGGATCTTTGCTCACCGTTCTCATGATCATTTTGACCCCACGGGATGAGATCTTGCGTGGAGCCCCAGATCGAGGGAGATTATCAGTGGTCTTGTATGTCTTCCATTTTCTGATGATTGCTCCCACAGTTGATTTTTTCACACCAAGCTGCTTGCCTATTGTAGATTCACTCTTCCCAGTCTGGTGCAGGTCTACAATACTTTTCCTGGTGTCCTTCGAAAGCTCTTTGGTCTTGGCCATGGCGGAGTTTGGAGTCTGACTGTTTGAGGCTGTGGACAGGTGTCTTTTATACAGATGATGAGTTCAAACAGGTGCCATTCATACAGGTAACGAGTGGGGGACAGAAAAGCTTCTTACAGAAGACGTTACAGGTCTGTGAGAGCCAGAGATTTTCCTTGTTTGAGGTGACCAAATACTTATTTTCCACCCTAATTTACGAATAAATTCTTTACAAATCCTACCATGTGGATTCATGGATTTTTTTTTCACATTCTGTCTCTCACAGTTGAAGTGTACCTCTGGTGCAAATTACTGACCTCTGTCATCATTTTAAGTGGGGGAACTTGCACAATCGGTGGCTGACTAAATACTTTTTTGCCCCACTGTATGTATTTCTACTACATGTTCTGTAATTGTTAACAAAGATCCTGACTGACCTGTTTGCAGTCAGGGGTCATCAGGTTGAGGCTACTTGTGGAGATGTTGAGGTTGATGGACATGCCGGCAAACTGCAGATTGCTCTTCCCCAAAATACTGGACAGAGCTTTGGATGGTGGCTGTAAGGATCAGACACAATAAGACACAAATAAAACAAAACTGATTTAGCCTAGAATAGAGACTTGGAAGGTAACAAAATCAAAAGACGAGCACCTTAGAAGTTCCCCAACAAACATGAAGGCTCTGGAATTGTTTGCGTCCTGGTACTTTTTTAAACCTCTACTAGTTTCCTTTGGGCAGTTTCCACTGTTTCTGCAAAGGTGCACTAACCAGCTGCTGGCTTTTTCTCTTAAACATAAAACAGTTCCTTTACACAGTTCACTGATGCATAACTGAAGTGCAACTGCATAAAATCTGTGGTAACATGATTGTTGCAAACACACAAACATGTGCTCTCCTCCTGCACGGAAATCCAGGCAGATGTTTTGTCAGTAAGAAAGACAAACAGGACTGTAAAGTGTTGGACAGGATATGTCCGATAAAGGTAGGATTCAAAGAAGCCAGAAAAAATAGTCAAAACCCATTCAAAATTCTCAGCGTGAAGCTGATGTCACAAGCGTGTGTCTGTCACACAGCCAAACCAGCAGCACCTTATACCATACATCGATTCTAAGAGGAAGAAAAACTAGCCTGCTTGGATTTTGTGTTATGTACTCTTCCCTGACATTTGAACAAGCTCTAGAGGAGAGCAATGCTTCATTTCACACCCCACATTAAGACACAGATCCTCACAGGCTGTGGACGCACACACAGAATACAGACGGTCATATACATGCGCACCCACACACACACTAGCTTGGCGTCCTAATCACAGATATTGTGCGCTACATGAGTCACTAAGCACTGTGTGCGGTGTGCAGTGCATCGTGGGCTGGAGCTACACCCACGCACACAGTCCCATACCTCTTCATCTCTCCTTCTTCTCTCCTCAGCCTCTCTCTTCTCTAATCTCCCCCTCTCTCCCTCTTTATTTTCCCTCTCTTTTTATATAAACCAAGGAAGGAAAGGAAACATAGAGATGGGACGCTATATATAGAATGTGCATGGGTAAATTAATATGTAATGCCATTTCCTATTTTTCCAGCTACTGTATGTCTTACTAACATTCAGGTCTCATGGAGTGGGCATTACTTTTCCAGTGATTATGCCATTCTTTTATCCTTCTTCCCTCCCTCCCATTCTGTACATCCATGCAAGCTACCTTTCTCTTCCGCAGAGCTCCTTTGGTCCCTGGAACAGCCTCACACACCAGGCTGATGGCTTCCCTAGAAGGAGGGCAAGAAGAAGATAAACTTGTAATTTTGATTGTATTTGCAGTAACTAATCATCCCAATCATACACAAGAAACGTATTCTGTAACTTGGTACTAAACCTCTTCACACAAACATGCCTACAGTGATGATGTTAGTGCAGTAATCTTCAGCAAGTTCGACATATTTGTCATTTCTTTAAATTTTAGTCTAGCATGCTTATAAATGATTATTGGCACGCAACACAAGGTCCAGCGGAGGCTGATGGAAACTTGGG